GAGTTCTCCCTTCATGTCAGGTGCCGGCCTTCTCCATGTTAAGGGATGATGCAGTGTGAAAATGTTGAGGCACCCCTGAGGAAGGCAGAAGGCACCTCAGGGTGCCACAGTAGCCTGGTTGAGAAAGGATGGAATAGAGTAATCACATATGCAGTAAATAGAATTGCTGTATTTTACAGATGCATAGGATCAAATCGGTCTCTGGTCTAAAGATCTAAATCATATACATAGATACAGTTCATCCAGATTCTCATGACATATAAATCCTCCCACGGGAGGACATTTCCCAGCACCTCCAAAGAGGCAAGTCCTCAAAATGTGTGATTGTGCTTGGTAATTAGGGATAGTTAGCAACTCTGGTCAGCAGTTACAAAAATGTGTTTATATCTATAAAAAAGCAAAAGTATGTGTGCTATGTAGTAGAATGGTCCATACATGCTTTAGCACAGAGTGCTGTAACAGAACGAGCATCAAAGGATGAAGATGAAAACACGTGATTGGACTTGAAGCGAGGCTTGGAGCGCAGTGTGCTGGTCATGTGCCTAATGACGGTGATTAGAAGGCATCTCCAGCATCCCTTTAGAAGTGCATGCTTCGTTACGACTTCATGATCGCCAATGGATAGTGTAGATCAGCCTTTCCCAACCAGGGTGCAGTGGTACCCTGGGGTGCCTTCTGGCTTCTTCAGGGGTGCCTCGAAATTTTCACATCGCCAAGCCTACAATAAGAAGAATGCATCTGATGTGAAGGTAGAGAGGGCTTCTGGTGTGAAAAAGGGGTCATCTAAAGAAAACGGGCTCCTAGTGTGAGAGGGGTTCCTAAAAAGAAGGTGGGCTATTGATTTAAAGGGGAACTCTGATGTGAAAGGGGGGATTCTGATGTGAAAGGCGTAAAGCAGAACATGAACCCCCCATTTATTTTTGCATTTTGTGCTTGGGTTTCCCCCTTAAAAACCATACCTGGCCCCTTATCTTGGATAAGGGTCTGGTATAAATTTTGGAGGGACCACATGTCATTTACATTACATTTTTTTATAACAATTCAGACTGGGGACTTTTTTAAAAACATTTTAGACTGGGGTGCCTCAGGGTTTGGCATACTTTTAAAGGGTGCCATGACTGAAAAAAGGTTGAGAAACGCTGGTGTAGACTACGAGTATCAACCTCAGCACTCCAGCAACAAATCCTATCATACTTCTGGAAGTCATGCCTGTGGCTGTTAGATTCTTGCAATGCCTCGTGGGACATGTAGTTTTACAACAACTGGAGTGCCAAAATTGCCCACCCATTTGTAGACCTCACTAAGTTCCTTGTTTGTTCAGTTAGCCCTCATTCACACTTGAGTGCAAATGTCTGCAGGTGATTTTAAAGCCTTTTTTGCGTGCATTTTTTAGGCTTTTTTAGGTTAGAGCAATTTTGTTTTAGCCAATAGAAACCTAGTTACCAGGAGGAAGAGACGGTTGTTAGGCGCTCTGTCATGATACACATGCATTGGAATAAATATGCCTTTAAGATAATTTGTGTTTCACCTGTCTCTGGTATTGTATCTACCCCTCTCCATAGTTCAAGATTTTCTCTGTGTAAATAGTTCCACCGTTCTTCATTATGTTCCAGTCCGCATCTCAACCACGTGTCCTTTGCTGAATGGATCATATTACTGACTTTTGACCTAACCTATGTTCGCTGTTGTAAAGATCTGTACAGTATAGATTAAACTTCTTAACAATCTTCAAGGTATCATATGAATTGAGTCAATTGTCTGCCAACTCACTGAGATTGGAGTTATTGCTATCTCATCACAACTATAAATTACAGAGATTACACTTTCAATGTGAACATTCTCCAATTCAGCTCACATCCCAGTTCAGCTATGTTGTCCTAGATCAGGTGTAGCAATCCTCCAGCCATCCAGCTGTGGTGGAACTACAAATCGCATGAGGCATTGCAAGATTCTCACAGCCACAGACATGACTCCCGAAGAGAGATGCATCATGGGATTCATAGTTTCACCACAGCTGGAGGGCCAGAGGTTTGCTACCCCTGCCCTAGATTTTTCACTTCTCCTGCCTTCTTCAAACTCTTCACCCTTGGGGAGGCCGAACATACTCCAATTGAAGACTTTGGGTCCACAGATGTGCAATTCTGCCCCAAAAAAGCTCATCTACTGTTTTCAAGTTGCAATCAACACGCTGCTCTGTTGTTAATGGGCACCTTAAAAAATAATGGGATTCTTTATGTTGATCGTTGTTGCACTTCAGGAAACGTGCAACAAAACACTTATTTTGCATGTCTTTTCCCCGGTGACATTAAATGAGAACTATGGGGTTAAGGCTTTTCTCCATAGTTCTCCTTAGGGTAACGGGAGGACACAAACTAGCGTCCTCCCGTCACCCTAAGCTCAGTATACCGCGAGCTACTGCTCGCGGTATACTGAGACGCCGCAGCTGAAGCGGATCCCGACAATTATGTCTGGGTCTGCCCAGCTGCATGAGTGACAGCTGGCTCTGCTTATATAGAGGCAGTGCCAGCTGAACCCGCCCCCTCCCCCGTCCGATCCACCAGTCAGCGCTGGCGGATCGGAGCGGGGGGAACCCAGCCCCTCCCCTGTCACGGCATAGAGCCGTGACAGGATCGAGAGGTGAGCGAACGCCGGTATGTGTTCGCTCACTTCTCGATCTACTGAGCCGACCTGTGAATCTACTGAGCCGACCTGTGACAGTCTCATTGTCACAGGTTGGCTAGAACTATGAGGTGAGTGAAAAGCACTCACCTCATAGTTCTCCTTTAAAAATAAATACAAAGCATGGACACATCTTTCAGGGCCCATTCACACTACAATGCTGTGTGCTGCTGCTCATGTGTTGAAGCACATTGCATTGAAAAGCCCATCTAAATTGAATGGGTTGAAATACACGGCAACACTTGTGAAAATGGGGCAGGCCGCGTGTTATTGCTGTACAACACAAAGGCCACCATGAGTTGTGTCGCACCATGGTGCAATGCACGTTTTGGAGTTGCAATAGGGGGCAATTCACAATGAAGGGCAAAACATGTAATACTGTATATGCTACCACAGCACAGTGGTGTTTATGCAGCCTGACTGCATTGCAGTAATTCATATTAAAGTGGACCTTTCAGCTAAAACAACATTGCGCCCCAATCAAATTATTCCCCCTTCACAATGATAAAAAGCCTTTTTTTATTTTTTTCCTCCGTTTGATTACATCCGCTTTCTATCTTGAATCCCACCTCAGTGAGGGTGACGTTTCAACCTCCTCCTGCAGCCTTATGTGATACCCGTGTCACATTTCCAGGAGGCAGCAGCTTCCATACAGGATGGAGGAGGTGACGCGCAATATCTCAGTCTTCCATAACAACATGTAAACCAGACGTCCTGACGCCAGATCTGGCAATAGAACTGTCCCCTGCATACCATACAGCAACCAGGACCTTGAAAACAGCAGTGATGTCCACGGATGGCGCTGTGCAAATACAGACATGATAGCAATGAAGATCACCAGCACTTGAAAAATGGAATAAATCCTCAGGTTCTTTTTATTATAGAACAGCGTCGCATGTATCCTATAGCCAAAGTTTCGGAACCGCGCAGGGTCCCTTCATCAGGGCAAACATAGGTCACTCCTTAACTCCTGAAAAATCAACAGAACACTGTAAGTTTGGATTTACACCCCTGGGCGCAGACAGTTTGCCTCCAGAGACATACATATAGCTGTGTAGCAGGCGGGTTGTACACAACACCCGTGGCTCCCAGACACAGAGACCTGACCGTATTTAGTTGGCTGACCCTCTGCATCTGTGAGCCCAGTCCCTGTTCATACATAGGCGACACGCAACAAGCACGTGCAAAAGTGCATGCTTTGACGTGCATTCACGAAATGTACACCAAATGTGCAATGCACTTGTGCCAATACCATTTTATGGCACCCCAAACATGGCTAAGCAACAGCTTTCCCAAGCGTTAAAACACGCACAAATGCACAGGAAAAATGCAGAACACGTTGCAGAATTTCCTGCGTTTGGTGTGCGTTCAGCACCCATTGAAATCAATGGCGTTTCTGCTATGCTTATGTGTGAATGGGGCCTAAATGTGCAGAGTAAGGCCCCATTCACACTGAGCGGATTACCGCGCGATAACGCGCATTTTTGCCGCGCGATATCGCGAGAAGTCAATAGCCAATGAATTTCAATGGAGCTGTCTTCATGTACAGCTCCGTGTCGCCCGTCGCGGTCGCAAGTCGCTTCTACAGGACCCTTTTTTCGATTTTTTGCAGCCCGACGATGAAGGTCCCGCTATCGTCGCTGGAACGTCGCCCCGAAAGTCGCGATATCCCGGCCGCGCGGATCCGATCCAAAAGGTATGTCGCTTAGTGTGAATGGGGCCTAACGCATGCTTGTATGAAGCACTGCAAATGACCTGAGTCCTGTGAATGGGCCCCAAAGTGATATTGTACATATCACAATGTAGCCCTTCCTGTTATTTAGCTGCCAGTATGGGTAAGGGAAGGCTTTACTTTTAAAAGTACATTTATTTAAACAGGTTTGTACATCAGATTTATAAAAAGGACTATTGAGGCAGAACAAGAAGACAGGCTGTCTGAGAAGGAGTCAGGAAACACTTCTTAATACTGTAACAGGAGGGACAGATCCTGCACGTCTAGAGGTATGCCAGGGATGCCATATTCCATCCACCAGCCGCCTGCCAGGGAGAATGTGTCCCGGCTTCTCCCATCCGTGCAGCCAGTATGGGAGGGGGCGGTAGTCCGGCTTGCTGTCAGCAGGCGTGTGCAGTGCCGAGTCCCAGTACCAGCCAGCAGCTCTCCGGCCTCTGGAAACAAAACCAAAAGTAACCTTTGTGTCCGGAAGTGGAGCGGATCCGCCTCCCGAGAAACGAGAGTGCCAGGCCGGTGTGACCGGGGACCTGTATGGGGGGCTGATCACCCTATGGAGGGGCTTATCATCTTGTGTAGATGACAAAGAGAGACACAAGGCACCGAGACCCGGTGGGCGTTCATTGAGACCCCTCTACCCGGATCTGTGATCTATCAGAGGTAAGATGGTGACTGTGGAAAGTATGACTGGGGACACCGTGTGTTATCAATGTTTACTAATGCAGAAACTTGGGGCGCCATGTGTGATACTCTGACTGCTGTCACTTCCTGCAAATGTCACCCTGTCATCTGAGGGATCAACAACTCGTCTTTATGTTGTCATAGCTCCACACTGTGCTCCTTCCGGAGTTACACACTCACTCATGGTGGTCTATTCATCTCCTGTATCCTCTGGGAGGTGGGGTCTTTTTATCTCCTGTATCCTCTGGGGGGTCTCTTTATCACGTGTGCATGCTGTCGTGGTTATATAATTATATAATCTTGGGGGAAGGTGTCCCTTGTATCCTCTGGTGGGGAGTCTCTTTATCCCCCTTACCCTCGGGGGGAGGGGTGTCTCTATATCTCCTGTACACTCTTTATCCCTTGTATCCTCTGGTGGGGAGTCTCTTTATCCCCCTTACCCTCGGGGGGAGGGGTGTCTCTATATCTCCTGTACACTCTTTATTGTGTGTGTGTGTGTATGTAATATATATATGTATATATATATATATGTGTGTGTGTGTACTAGTTTCTTAGGTGACAGTGTTTTAGATATAAACTACATACAAGATATATTCTTAATAGTTCCTTGTAAAAGTACACATTGTATCCTATGAGCCGAAGTATCTTGGCTGTTCCCCAGCCACGTAGTGCGTACAGTATATATGTGTACATATAATTGTTTCCTTTAGGGGACAGATATGACACGGCTGTGTGACAAGTCTTGCCTGTCCTGGAATAATGTCTGCTGCTGTCATTGTTTTCATGTGGTAAGACCTTTAGCACCTCGTTACTGGAGTGTCTTTGCTGCAGATATCTCTGAACCGTTTCCTTGTTTGCGTTTGAAGAGAACAAGTCACAAGTCTTAAAGGAGAACTCTAGAAAAACATTTGTTGTCCTGAATGGGAAGAGAAAGACTTTGTTGTTTGTAGGGCTGCAACAACTAATCGATTTTAATCGATTATTGAAAAAGTTGTCAACGTTTTTAATCATCGATTAATCGGCTTCCGATTGGTTGGCCCTGTTCACGGCTCCACACACGCTGCGCGCCGCGCCTCCTCCCCACCTCACGCTCGCCGCTGCCAGAACAGTCTGCCTGCATCCACACTCCACACCTCCTCCCCACCTCACGCTCACCGTCCGCCCACATCCACGATCTGCACATGGACGCGGGGAGAAGAAGTAAGGAGGAGCAGGAGTGAGGGGGTGACAGCCGCCGATAGACCGGCCCGATCTCAGTAGCAAGTTGCTGGAGGACTGCTCAGGTAAGCCTGCACTTTCCCACACGTGGTGCTCTATAATGTATTGCTGGGATTTGTATTCCTCTATAGCTGATGGTACATTGTGCTGTATATTATACATAGGAATACAAATCCCAGCAATACATTTATACACTGTCTGTATAATGTACTATTGCTGGGATTTTTTGTATTCCTATAGTGGTATTCTGCATTGCGCTGTATAGAGGACTACAAATCCCAGCAATAATACATTATACAGTGGTGCAATGCCGAATACCACCAGCTGTAGAGGACTTCAAAACCCAGCAATAGTACATTATACAGACAGTGTATAAATGTATTGCTGGGATTTGTAGTCATCTATAGCTGGTGGTATTCTGCACTGATTGCTGTATAATTTTACACTTTCCATGTCACTATATTGCACACCACACTTTTTGTTTTTCTTTTTTACTTCCACCGCTCCAAGCTTGCTCCTGTGATGGATTACAATCTCAATACAAACCAGTAGTCCCATCACTGGAGCCATTTAAAAAAAAATTATTTTATTATTTATCCGATTAACGGATTAATGGAACTTAAAGGAGAACTATGGGGTCAGGGCTTTTCCCCATAGTTCTCCTTAGGGTAACGGGAGGACACAAACCAGCGTCCTCCCGTCACCCTAGGCTCAGTATACCGCGAGCTACAGCTCGCGGTATACTGAGACGCCGGAGCGGACCCCGACATCGATGTCGAGATCCGCCCAGGTGCGTGAGCGACAGCTGGCTCTACCTATCTAGAGGCAGAGCCAGCTGTACTCGCACCCTCCCCCGTCCGTTCCGCCAGTCAGCGCTGGCGGAGCGGGGAGGGGGGAATCCAGCCCCTCCCCTGTCACGGCAGAGAGCCGTGACAGGATCGAGAGGTGAGCGAACGCCGCTATGTGTTCGCTCACCTCCCGATCTACTGAGCCGACCTGTGACAGTCTCATTGTCACAGGTCGGCTAGAACTATGAGTTGAGTGAAAAGCACTCACCTCATAGTTCTCCTTTTGAATAAACGGCTAACTAATCGATTTTGAAAATAATCGTTAGCTGCAGCTCTAGTTGTTTGTTTCCTCATTGGGAAATATTTCCTTCACTTCCGTTCTCAATTACAATGTCACCAAGACAGATAGTGAGTGAATCTTAAGAGACGGTAAAAACTTTTTTAAAGTAGAAAGCTTTAACACTTGTCAGGTTTTTACAGTTGTCTTGCCAGATCCCCCTCACTTCATGTCCCTGGGACAGTGGTCATCATAACAGGAAGTAAGGGAAAATTGTCCCAACTGGGACCCAGGCAGCAATAAAAAAAGTGTTCAGAGCTTCAAACACTTCCCCCCTGTACCCAAACCAAATACACGTTTGACTATGAATAATTAGGGTAACACAGGATTTATGTTACCATTTCTATATTTACCTCCCTTAATTATTGACCCGATTGTGACGCTTCAGCTCAGATCAGAGTTTGAGAGGTCTCTTGAAGTCTGCCAGTTGCTGCCTGTCTATTGCCTACCACCATTTTTTGTTCTTGCATAAGGCTGTGATGGTATTAGACTGATTAGCTAGTGACTCTGCTCTCTCCTCCTATTAGCATGTCCTTTTTAAAACATATTCACTGCAGCATAGCAAATTGTCTCTTTCTCCTTCTCCCTCTCCCAGTCTTGGTGGTGCTGTACAGTGGTTTGCAAGAGGCTGACATCAGGTCAGATCAAGGTAGTTGAAAAAAACAAAATATACATTTGATGGAGTGTTAATGAATGCAGCCCTAAATGTATTTGTGTTGCATACCTGCCTGGAGTTCAGCTTTAGAGAGAAAATAATGTCCCGCAGGTTTAAGTGCAGTGCTGACAATTACTGTTGGAGATTGCTGCTACCTCCGCCCCCCCACATATTCATATTGGCCCATCGATATGATAGACTGTTTCACTGGCCAATGAGAATATGCAGGAAGCGGTGGGCAAGCTTGGTCACTATTAGGCATTAGTTATGAGGCCAGACTTGGTGTGAACCCAGTTGCAGTGAGTTTTCCAAAGCCTGCTCAAAACTGTGACCGTCACCCCTCCCTCCCGGCCTAGTCAGTGGCGGCAGTTGCAGCAAGGCGTTCTCTACAGCTTTGTGATCTATAGCTGCAGAGCAGTGAATGCGCCTGCCACAATTGATTGGGCCGGGAAGATGGGGTACGATGACCGTTCTGAGCGGCTCGGACGGACTCAGGCAAACTGGGTTTGCACCAGGCCCATTTAACAGTGTATGACCACCGTACATTTATTGATCTTACTCCGGCAATACCTAATATGGATCACGGGCAGGGCCCTCCTCACCATTTTGGCTTGACTTGTATGGTATCTGTACTGCCTTCCCTTATTTTGAAAAGTGCTGCACAAAGTGTTGGCGCTATATAAATCCTGAATAATAATAATGGTATATTTGTCATTTTTGTAAGCATGCTTGTACATGAGACGAGGGCTTTAGAAAAAAATGGGGTGTTTTTAATTTGTTTATTAAAACTTTAATTTTTAAACATTTTCTTTGGACACCAATGGTGGAGAGGTGACTAATGCAATCACTGACACCAATGCCGGGGGTCATTATTGCGGTCACTGACACCAATGCTGGGATGATGACTAATGCAGTCACTGACACCAATGCTGGGAGTCATTATTGCGGTCACTGACACCAATGCAGTCACTGACACCAATGCTGGGGGTCATTATTGCGGTCACTGACACCAATGCTGGGGTGATGACTAATGCAGTCACTGACACCAATGCTGGGGGTCATTATTGCGGTCACTGACACCAATGCTGGGGTGATGACTAATGCAGTCACTGACACCAATGCTGGGGGTCATTATTGCAGTCACTGACACCAATGCTGGGGGTCATTATTGTGGTCACTGACACCAATGCTGGGGAGGTGACTAATGCAGTCACTGATGCCAATGCTGGGGGTCATTATTGCGGTCACTGACACCAATGCTGGGAGTCATTATTGTGGTAACTGACACCAATGCTGTGGTGATGACTAATGCGGTCACTGACACCAATGCTGTGGTGATGACTAATGCGGTCACTGACACCAATTCTTGGGTAATTATTGTGGTAACTGACACCAATGCTGGGGAGGTGACTAATGCAGTCACTGATGCCAATGCTGGGGGTCATTATTGCGGTCACTGACACCAATGCTGGGGGTCATTATTGCGGTCACTGACACCAGTGCTAGTGGCTCTTATTTAATCCTCTGAACCAGTGCTGGAGGTTATTGTTGTGGTCACTGACATCACTGCTGGGGGGCTTTATTGCAGTCACTGACGCCAATGATGACTCCAACTTTTTCTTCAGAGTGCATTGCGCTACTTTAAAATATATATATTGTGTGAACCAATTTTTCAGGCGTTGACTTGCAGCCTAACACTATGCAGTGCACCTCAATGCACCAAAACTCATTACTATCGTGTGGCCCTTTATCCACTTGGGCCACCACTGAATTAGTAATTCCAAGACCTCTTGGTTTGTGTTGAATTCGCAATGTCTGACAAATTTGATATTAAAGTAGATCTCTAGGCAAACTTTTTTTTTTTAATGTTGGATGGCATTGGGAAAGGTTAGATCCTTTGTCAAGTCTTATTGTAGTGCCCCCATTGGAAAGACTCACCCCTCTTTTTGCTCTGATGGCCATTGTCATTGAAATGGAAAGTGAGGGGAAATCCACAATGTTTGAGTTGTCCCTAGAACAAAAGGTAAGGGAAAATCTTCCACTGGTCTCTTCCTCTGCTCCAGCGATGGTATGTTCCTCGGCATCCTCACGTCCAATACGCTGTATTGGACATAACTCATAGGACCTTTGACTGTTGGAGCTAAGGGGAGCGAGGATAAAGAGAGTGGTCTAAAATAGGGCTGCAACAACTAATCGACATAATTGCTCCAAGCTTGCTCCTGTGATGGACTACAACCTCAATACAAACTAGTAGTCCTATCACTGGAACCATTTTTTAAACTTTATTTTATTGTTTATCCGATTAACCGATTAATCGAACTTAATAATCAGCTAACTAATCGATTTTGAAAATAATCGTTAGCTGCAGCTCTAGTCTAAAAGCCAGCCAGGATTGTGGTTCTGATTAGAGCTGCAGCTAACGATTATTTTCAAAATCGATTAGTTAGCCGATTATTAAGTTCGATTAATCTGTTAATCGGATAAAAAAATCAAATCAAATATATTTTTAAAAATGGCTCCAGTGATGGGACTACTAGTTTGTGTTGAGATTGTAGTCCATCACAGGTGCAAGATTGGAGCGGTGGAAGTAAAAAAGAAAAAAAAAAGTGTGGTGTGCAATATAGTGAAATGGAAAGTGTAAAATTGTACAGCAATGAATGCAGAATGGCACCGGCTATAGAGGGCTACAAATCCCAGCAATAGTACATTATACAGCAATGCAGAATACCACCAGCTATAGTGGAATACAACAAATCCCAGCAATAGTACATTATAGCTGGCGGTATTCTGCATTGCGCTGTATAATGTATTGTTGCTAGGTTTTGTACTCCTCTATAGCTGGTGGTATTCTGCATTGCGCTGTATAATGTATTATTGCTGGGTGTTGTAGTCCTCTATAGCTAGTGGTATTCGGCATTGCACCACTGTATAATGTATTATTGCTGGGATTTGTTGTACTCTATAGCTGGTGGTATTCCGCATTGCGCTGTATAACGTATTATTCCTTGATTTGTAGTCCTCTATACAGCGTAATGCAGAATACCACCAGCTATAGAGGCATACAACAAATCCCAGCAATACATTATACATACAGTGTATAATGTTTTGCTGGGGTTTGTAGTCCTCGGTATAATATACAGCACAATGTACCATCAGCTATAGAGGAATACAAATCCCAGCAATACATTATAGAGCACCACGTGTGGGAAAGTGCAGGCTTACCTGAGCAGTCTTCCAGCAACTTTCTTCTGAGATCGGGCCTGTCTATCTGCGGCTGTCATCCCCCCACACCTGCTCCTCCTTACTTCTTCTCCCCGCGTCCCTGTGCCGATCATGGATGCGGGCGGGTCTGGCAGCGGTGAGGTGGGGAGGAGGTGTGGCGCGCAGCGTGTGTGGAGCCGTGAACAGGGCCAACCAATCGGAAACCGATTAATCGATGATTGAAAAAGTTGACAACTTTTTCAATCATCAATTATGTCGATTAGTTGTTGCAGCCCTACACACAGGTAAGTCCTCTATGAATAAGCCTTCGGGTGAAACATGTGAGAGGTTGTAGTTGGTTGGGGGTGTGCAGTGCTGGCATTTGTAGCTTTATACAATTTTTCACAGATATACTGGATTTGCTGTGAATTTTTATAAAGTCTGCAGTATTGGAATTCTCTGGATAGTGCCGTCTGTTTGTATACTGCTGTATGTCGATTAGTTGTTGCAGCCCTACACACAGGTAAGTTTAAACCGCTTTTAAAGCCGTTTTTTTTTAACTTTTTGCATATATCTACTGCTCGCTAGCAGTAGATATATGCAAAAAAAGCAGAGGGTTTAAAAACCCCTTTAACTTCCTATCCAATGCAGGAACTACAAGGGATAGAGCAGCCTCCAGCAGCTGTCCATCTACTAGCTAAGGCTCCATTCGCACATTAGTGGTTTGTGTGGAAACGCGCTAAACATAAAAAACAATGCATTCCAATCTGCATTGTCCGCAAAATAGTCCAACTGTGATTTTCTGGGCGGATTCAGCGCGTTTGCAGCTATCGCTATATCCGTGCGTATGTTATAGTTTGCACGGAAAACCACTTGGGAGAATGCAAACGCCATATTTTAATGGAGCCTAGGAGAAGGGAGGAGCAGGGGGAAAGGTAGAGTGGCTTGCCTTGCTGTGCCTCTGTGTCTGTGAAGACACACACATAGTTTACTAGCACACACAATGGTGGCTCCATAGGACCCTGCAAGGGAGATGAGTCAACCTCCAACCTAAAACAGGATATCAAGACTAGATGATTCTGCAGGAAATGAAAACGTATAAACATTAAGAAGCAGCATTCATTGTAAGTAATTTAATCGGCATTTCAAATGTCTTTAAAAACCTTCTGACTTTGATATCACTTTAGGAACTTAAGGACATCTTGGCTTGATGATTACCAGGGAATTATTCATTTCTTATTTAAATACCGCTTTGAATTTGGACGGAAGCAATGTCTGAAAATAGCTGCATTATTGATTCGGTCCTGCACAGGTTTTGTGACTTTGTTTGCTCTTCGGCCTTGTTTAAATGCCATCACTGAGCTTCATTGACATTTTCTGGGATGCTAGAAGCAAGAAGAAGGATCAGAGGGTTGTCGTTAAAATGGGGTGCTCTCCTTGTGCTCACGTTCTGCTTTTTTGGATTTGCGTTCACTACAAGTTTTACAGAACTGCCTTGGAAATCTTTACCGAGCCCTGCTGGTGTTACATCCAACAATGCAAATGAGTGTAGGGAAAATGGAAGCCCCTGCCAAGGAGAAGGCAATGGAGCATGGAGATTCTGCTTGTAGAAGTTCTTTTTCTCACTTGGCTGGTCTCTGTGATCTATGTAGCTGGGTCACCTTCCCTCATTAAACAATAATTGAATAATCTAAAGCCTCTAGTTTTTTTTTAACCTTTTAGAGGGTAAACCGGAGGGTTCACATGTTTTTTTGTCTTAGGGGGCATTCACACGTGTGGCTTGTGGTAATGTACAGCACCCTATACGTGTGTTGTGGCAACACGTGCGTGCCAATGCCACAATGCATGCCAATGCACCTTCTCTATGCAATGTGGTGTATTGCAGTGCTATTCATTTTAAATGGCACCCCAATGCACTGCGCAGCACATCACCATGCTCATAGCACACGCTGTGGTGCACTGAATTTGGAGGGAAAAAAGTCATGCATGTTTCTTCATTCATTGCAGTGCGTTGGCAGCCCACTCATAATGACGCATCGCAGCGTATTGCTTCAGTGTAAATGAGCCTTAAAAGAAGTGGAATGAATCCCTTTTTGAAATGGTAAACACGCCTTGGAAGCTGGACTTATCCTACACCCTGCTAGATAGTGGTGCTATAAGAGGTGGCAAGGACTGAGCAGGGATTTTCCATCATTTTCCTATGCTCCTGTTTAGAAGCAGTGCTGCTAATGTACAGCTATTAAAGACAAACTTCACCCCCCTAACCCCACTACGCCGGTCAAATCAAACAGTAACCCTTGCAGTGGGGCCACCCTGCACTGCAAGGGTTAAGTGCTTGTTTTGTCTAGGGAGCTAAAATAACAGTTCTACTCACCGGAACCATGACCGCTACTTGCTGTTACCCTGCTCCCTCCAGCCTCTCTGCCCCTCCGCTCCAGTGATGGAATGTCCCTTGGCATCCTCCCATCCAAAACACTGTATTGGACGTGATGACTCACTAGACCTTTGACCTCTGGAGCGGAGGAGGAGACAGGCTGAATAGAGTGGTCTAAGAGCCAGCCGGGATCGTGGTTTGGGTGAATATAACTTTTATTATTTTAGCTACCTAGCCAAAATGAGCACTTACCCCTTGCATTACAGGGGCAGCCCCAAACCCACCGTGAGGGTTAAGATTTGATTTGTCCAGAGTTCTGCTTTAAACAACAAGGAGCAGCATCCATTGTAAGTAGGGATGCACTGATACAGTTTTTCCGGTATGGAATACGAGTACTGATACCGGTACTTCCGCTAGCATGGAGCGTGCCATTACCTGCCGCTCGGCTTCTTGATTGCCCAGGAAGCGGGCTCAATGCTGTTTGGCCGGCTCCATGCTGATTGGCCGGGAAGCCGACTCCATGCTGTTTGGCCGGCTCCATGCTGATTGAGGAATTTTACCCACCATTTTAATGTCTCCTAAAATTGTAGGTTTCCCCACTAAATTGTGATCTTCTCCATCGGGGCTCAGGCACCTTTTTCCATCGCTGCCAAGTGTGCCCACACTTACAATCGCTGCTGGTGCTCTGTTCCCACCTTCTCATACTATGCATGTCACACTCGGCTCTCTACAGCCACATTCGAGTACTAAGTTAGCAGTGCTGAGCGCTGACCTGTAGCACAGCATTTAGCGGCGGTTTGCTAACTCAGCATTGCGGCTGAGCAACTGAACGCGCTAAGATGGCACCATCCTTGGCTGTAAAGGGTGTAGTTCTGCTATAGGCAGCAGCAATGGAGACAACACTGCAGTGATTTTACTGTGGAAGGAATAACATCTCCATATCACAGCGGGTGAAGATCTAATGGTTCTACTGGCAAAATCAGCAGGTATTCACAAAATGTTCCAGGAAGTATTTCCAAAAACAGCCCAGTATGAGCAGACTACTTTGCATATTTGAATTTAAAGTTTCACCATAGTTTTACTCTAATAAAGTCATCACTTGCAAATAATGGTCCATAAATACAAAAAAGAATAATAATAATAATTTAAAGGGTATGTAGACCCAACTGCAGTGGCGTTTATGCGCTGCAGTTATGTGCATTTTACTGCCCGTAACCTATAAGTGTGACTGGTCCCTTAAAGAATGTAACTTTACCTTTGTCATTAGCCCCACTGGCTGAGATAGTAATGTTATACTTTGTCCCCAACACAGAAGTAAGCTGTTTACACAATGTTTATCTTATGTGTATTTGGTGCATGGTATACGGGAGCATGATTTCCTTTTTTATTTTATTTTAGTCACCATGGATTCCCTACTTGACGATGATATTTGTATATTGAATCATGAAAAAGAAGACTTTACGAGGAGGAGAGATCAAGATACTCCTTTTTCTGCGTCCTCAGGAGAGGCGTCCGTGGCCTCGCACTTTGCCCTGGTCACAGCATATGAAGACATAAAGAAACGACTGAAGGATACCGAGAAGGAGAATTCCACTTTAAAGAAAAGGCTAAGACAAATGGATGAAAAGGTACTAGTTACATGAAATACATATTATTGCCTTGATTTGTTTTTCTTTAATTCTTGGTGTATATTTTCTGTCTGTGCAGGTGAGGATAGCTAAATGGTGGTTTTCTGTTTGCTGTCTAAACATACATAAACCATACATCCAATAACCCGCCCCTCCACGTGGAAGAAGATTCAAATATAAATGCATTTTAAAACAAACGGTACTTTTTCTTTTTACCCCCTCCCCTACCTAACAGATCTCAGTTTCCTGCCCTTCTACAGATGCACAGTTATTGAGATTTGATACCTGCGGCTTCTGGGCATAGTGTGCATCCAGTGCCGCAACTTCTGCCTCTGTTGGCCATGCCTGCGCAGTAGAGCCCAATAGACTCCTATGGGGCATACCTACCTCTGTCTCCTGGCTGGGAGGTGAGCACCATAGATTTAATATGGGGCTTTACTGTGCAGGCTGGTCAGGAAGGAGAGGCGTGGGATGTAAACAAACACAGGAGGCCACAGACATCAGATCATAGTAAGTGTGCATCTGTGGAGTGGGAGGGTGGGATCTGTTAGGCAGGGAAGGAAGGGGACCTAGCATTGCACTTTGTCTGAAATTGCTTTTGTTCTTTAACACTCTAAAGCCCAAATGAACATTTAAAAACATTCCAGGTGCAGCAAAACAAAGTGTGTGTAATCAGTTACAGTCCGTTTTGTTTGGAAAGCAGCAGCCTGAGTAGAAAAGCCTGTCCCCTGCCAGAATGCTGCAAAGATGGACCCTTCTCCCTGTGTGGAAGCAGTGGTCTGTTTGCAGAGGTCCAACACAACCCCTGCTGAGTCACAACTAGAGCTCTTTAATCATGAGGGACCATGAGATTTTCTGATTTGAAGAGCTATAGATGTGTCAGACCATTGCAGAGTAAACCACACCATTGCAGAGTAAACCACTGCTCACCCACAGAGAGAAGAGTCCTGCACTGCAGCATGCTACTCAGACTGTGGCTGCTGTCTACAGAAACCTTTACAGTATCTACTGCTAGCAAGCAGTGGATATATTCAAAAACATAAAAAAAAATTAAAAGTTACCAAAAAGCTTATTACTTGCCTCTGTTTCCGCTGCTTGCTCCCGTATGAAGATCCAGAGCTACTTGAGCAGCCGTGCGGGATGGTGGGGCGGACGCATGCGCAGTAGAGATCTTCGGCGGGCAGAAGAGAGACACAGTGGAGGTGAATGCCGGGAGCATGCACATCGGACAGACACTGTGGGACTGGAAGACACAGGAGCCTGCGCTGGATCAGAGACAGGCACCAGCGCTGGAGTTATTGCTGGAAACAAGTGTAAGGAAGAAGATGATCCGATCAAGAGGCATCATTTAAGGTAAGTCCTTAAAGGAGAACTATGGGGTTAAGTCTTTTCCCCATAGTTCTCTTTAGGGTAACAGGAGGACACAAACTAGCGTCCTCCCGTCACCCTAGACTGCTGCTCGCGGTATACTGAGACGCCGCAGCTGAAGCGGATCCCGACAATTGTGCCGGGATCTGCCCAGCTGCGTGACTGACAGCTAGCTCTGCCTATCTAAAGGCAGAGCCAGCTGTACCCTCCCCCTCCCCCATCTGTTCCACCAGTCAGCGCTGGCGGAGCAGGGAGGGGGGAATCCAGCCCTTCCCCTGTCACGTCAGAGAGCGAACAGTGAGCGAACGCCGGTATGTGTTCGCTCACCTCCCGATCTACTGAGCCGACCTGTGACAGTCTCATTGTCACAGGTCGGCTAGAACTATGAGGTGAGTGAAAAGCACTCGCCTCATAGTTCTCCTTTTAAAGCACAA